TGTGTTTGCAGTTGCATAAATTTGCAAAAACGCATAAAAACGGCATATGCTTGGGAATCATTTCATTTTCTGTATCGTTTTTATAGCAGTTTTAATTCGTCACGTTTCATTCCTATTTTCTTCTAAATTTGTAGCGCATCTCTAGGAGGCGTCGGAAGGAAGAAGCTCAGTGCCGGTTGTAATGAGGGATGCACCCACTATTGCTAGTCGCTGTGTTATCAGATTACCAAGGAACGAGTTTCTTGTCAAGTTTAGTTTAACTTTAAGTGCGTTTGTCATTTCCATTATGCTCAGTGCATAGAAGACCTCCTGCCTCCCTTCCGGTCTACATTCCGCGCTACCTCCACATTCATGAAAATGTTTACATTGTTGCTGTTTGTATTGTTGTAATTACTTCTTGCTATGCTTCCGTCCAATTGCGCATGAGCGAATTGCATATTTTGATTGGGCTAAACTGCTGGACTCGCTTCTGGAAAAGATCCTCACAAAATAATACAAGGAGCACTTTGTTTCTCTGTTTATAATTCTTTGTTTATTTGCTTGCTCAGATTTCCCCCAGATTCCCTTCAGAAACAAGTCTTCACTCGTTCATCGGAATCAGATTACCTAATCTAATGAAATGGATTTCCTAGGGCTGGGATCTCATTTAATGCAACGCGCCCACTCACTTTTCGAAGCTTTACGCTTCTCTTTTTGCAGGCTTCCAGTACATTTTCTTGAATCCCTTAAATCTGTTCCTTCTTAGATTCAACTTCCTTGCAACTTCTCTACGCACACTATTCACTGGGAAATGCACAGTGAAAGAGATGAATTTTTTGAGAAGCTTGCAGATGGATGTCTATTTTCGCATTCATTCGTTGGCGTAGCTTTTCGTTTCTCCCTTATCATTTAAGTATCTGTTCGTTGTGATTCTTCCTATTTCCGTTTTACCATAACAGCACAGGGATTATTCCGACATAAGCGTTTCTGTGAATTATCTTCTTTGGACCACCGAAATCTGTCCAGTTTCTGCTTCCTCTCAAACGGTTCCTTTGTTGATTTAGTGCTGTTTCGCGTTGTTCGTATGTCATCGTTTTCTAATTTAGTTTTATGATATGTCTGGTGGATTTTTTGGAATTCGTGTCAGCTGAAATATTCGGGATAAAAAGCGACAACTGCCCAGGAATTCCTGTTTTTGAAGAAATTTTGAAATAACACTGCATACCTAAAGCATATTGAAGCATTATAAACTGCTGACTTTGTGATGGGTTCGCCGCGTCTCACGCATGCTGGCTTCTTACGCTGGCTCGAATGTCGCAGCTGTTAGCTTTTTCTCGTTCTTTTCATTTTTATCACTCCTCGTCTCAGACTGAGGTGCGCTAGCTTGCTTCGGTGCTTGCAAATAATCTTAAAGAAGGTCATTTATTTTTATTTCATTTTTTGTTTGAGGCACCGCTTTTATTATTATTGCGAAAAGCGAGTCAGTGCATGGGTAATTTATGGATCCCCTCTCATATATTACTTAGGGAGATGGGAAGGGAGAAGGGTATGATCGCATAAAACAGGTGTAAAACGTGAGTGTTTCGTGTTTATCGCTTGTGCTAGCAAGTTTGCTTGAGCATCCTACATTCCCGCACTCAACTGTGTGTATTCTGCAGCAGCGTTAGTAAAAAATGCTTCAAAAGTGCATATGCAAAAATTATAAAAGTGCGAGAAAGATGAAAGCATGAGGGTTGAATTCAAAACGTGTAAGAAAACCAGTAGTGTGCTAATGTGCTAGTGGCGCATATGTGTCGATGTGGACGTATGGGATCTGTTGAAACTAGTACATGTGAAGAAGCCGGCACTGCCATTGTATCAATGACAAATGTGTGCCGACGTGAATGTATGAAGCTGCCAGAACTAAGAATAATCTGAGAATGCTGGTGAACCAGCCACTTCAGCAGATGCGGCCACTTTTGGAAGTTGACATTTTTTGATAAAAATAGATTTTAACTCAGTGCAAATGTATTTTGATGAATTTTGGCACTAATTGAATGAGTGAATGCACGAATATCTTTCAGATCGTGAGCAACGTGAGCTGTACGAAGCGGCCAAAATCATCCAGAATGCTTATCGGCAGTACAAAGCACGCATCACAACGCAACGTCAAAATGAAGCGGAGAAGAATGCAGCAATTGTTATCCAAAGCTATTATAGGAGATATAAGCAGGTAATCTACTACCGTCTTGTCAAGCGATAGTACAGCGTGCAGACACAGTGGACGAATGCTGTTTTTTTTTAATAGCACATATTGGATGCTGGGATAACCATTAATTTATATGTTTCTTCATTTGCGCTGCTGGCAACTTCCATTTCTGCAATTGCTTTAACCAGATGGCGATCAGTTTGCTGCCGATGCTGACAGAAAATTTGTTTTGTTTCCTAAAGAGATTGACAATTGCGCGGGTTTAATATCTGAAGCACTTGGCAAGGTTTTAGCCGTTTTGTTGTGTCCTTGGTTTGTATGGGGCATCACCACTTTTTTGCAAAAAAATATAATTTGTCTGTTGCCCTGTTTGTGTAGTTCTAGTTGCGTGTCGCTGAGGAAGAGCTTGCGTAAGTACGCTCATCATTGTGGATGCTTACCATCTGATATGCATACTGAAAAGTATTGTTTACAGAGATGATGGCATTTCGTAAAGCGTAATGTATGGGCTCTTAGTGTGAACGAACTTTAGTGAGTTAAAGGACGTCCT